TTAGGATGGTCTATTCTGCCATCTTGACTGGAACCTTCTCTCTACATTCCAGATTCTTTTTCTTTAGACATTTTCAGGATTTTCCAGCATGTGTATTGAGGCTCTTGATTGCTACACAGTATAGAGTCCACTATAGGTGAGGGACTTGACATTTCATTTTTTCTTTGGCTTACAAAGACTTCCAACCTGTAGACCTGCTGATTGCCTTAAGTCCATCTGGTAACACCAAATGATTAGGTTCTGAATGGCATTAGAGGGCAGCCAAGACTGCGTCTACTAAGGACTGAACCGATGCCAATAATTCTTAACCATCTTCTCCCTATGGTTTATGAGTTCCTTCAAATGACTTGGTCTCCTCCATCCTGTGTGTCCTGGAATTGTATCCAGCCCTGATGTATCCCTGGTCAATCCCTCCCTACATCAGACATAGGGAGAATATTGATTATGAGCATTGGGCATCAGTACCATCTCTCCAAGGCCCTTCTCATCATAACCTCAGTTAAAAGGAGAAGGCAGGATGAAGCAGGAAGAAGAGTCTGAAGTCTGAGAGCTACAGTGTCAGTGATGTCTCAGTCTCTGAGGTTGGCATAGGAAAGAGCCCCGTCTCAGTGTCTGTGTGGGCCAGACACTGGATGACTCCTCTGTCTCATTTGAGCCATTATCAGTTGAAGTTAACTGGAAGTTTTGATGTAGGGGAATCCTTTTCATGAAAATTTTCCTTTTTCTTTGGGGCACAAGAAGTGAGCAGCACTGTTCAGAAATGGTTCTGCTCTTCAGTTACCAGAACATCATCAGGTGAGCTGTTTACCTAAGTCACATGCACCAGCACAAAGCCCAGCATCTGCCATGTAGCTTTTCTGAAAGCAGTTGCTTGTTGTCTTCATCTATCTCTTCCCCAAGCAGGTGGGCTCCTCTTGGAGGTGGTTTCATCTGAAAGACTTTCTCTTGAGGGCCCTCTGGAATGAAAATGTCCTTACCAGGATGACAACATTAGCTCCATCTGGACGTTTCATAATTCAAATTAAACCCACATAATGTCCGTTTCACTATATAGTTCAAGAATTGACTCCTTGTTTTCTAGACTTCTTTGATTCTTGAAAATACCCAATGATCTTGAGGAGTCCTTGAGGTCCAGACTCCCCAAAGACAAACCAGTCCTATTTTCCCAAAGTATATCTGAACCATACAAACACATTTGTCCTGAGTAACTGGAGTTTGCTTTTTGTCCTTAACTACATCACTATAGCACAGAACGGGAAAATTGCATCTTTTGGAGTATGTCCTGTAACTTCCTTGTAAAGTTTTCTTTTGTAGCCTAAAATATTTCAGGGCAGTTTCCAAACCACAGCAGAGTACACAGCTGTGTGAATAATATTCCCACTCCCCCTCCGTGGCCAGTCCATGAGATGTGTGCAGATGACCCTAATGTTTACCCTGTATTTCTTGGTGAGCTTCCAGTCATGTGTCTTTGAATCTCAGTGTTGGTCTGTCTGACCTATGGGCACAGAGGATAGGAAGGTTTTTATTTCCATTTCACCTGTTACAAGCTCCTGAGCTTGTGAACAGATAAAGCAGAATTACGTTTATTATCCACAATGAAGAAATCTTAGAATTCCTCCCACTTCTAAGGCCATCATTGACTTTTGCAAGGGCAGGTTCCATTCCACAAGGGATGGCCTAGATAGAAATTCTGTATCCCTCCAACTTGGATGATTACTTATAGCTTTGTGTTTTGTCTTTGAAAAAAAATGCTCAAAGAGAAGAAAGGCTCTCTAGAGAGATCTGCATGAGACTCTGGTCTTTTTCACCAAGTTAAATTAGGAACATTAACCACAGGAAACAGCGACTAAAAAGAGGTAGGGGATGTCCTTTTGAAATGGGCATACCATCCCGTTATCTCACCTTGAGGGTCTCCCAAGGTGAGATAGGTATCTGGCGTATAGGCACAGTCTTTGGACCAAGATGAAGTCTGACTGTACAAGAGAGAAGCTTCTGGCTGGCAATGGATTTCCTTCTCTACACTCAGGAATTTTGGGATCCCATCTGTCCAGTATTGGACAAGAGCTAACTGAAGGTTGGGGGGATGAGGCTTTTAAGGGGCCCACTCGCTCCTGCTCACCAGGAAGTTCTGTGAGCATTGGTGAATGCGGGAAAGATGTCAGCCCTCCCCTTTACTGATGACTGTCGCTTCATTCTCCTTAAAGTTATGGTGAGAAGAAAGCATAAGAATGTTCTTATATACATAAATAACATAAATCTAGTTTTCTTAAAATCTTTCTGTCCACACCAAGCTTCAGAAGTTTTTGAGATAACGGAAGACCTTCCATTTTTTTTTATTGTAAATCTTTCAAAAAGGTGTGTGCAGGTAACTCTGACTTTCAGTGTTTCCTGGCTAATGTTGCTTTACCATCCCTTTGGGTTAATGCTTGGCAACAAATTCCAGATATAAACACCAAGCTTTGCCCAGCAGTGCCCCCAAACATATGTTTATGTTGCTTTCTTCTTTAGGTCTTTAAAACCCTTATAAATATGTGGATAATCCTGTATCCCTTGTTGGATCTTCATGAAAATTAGGTCAAATGCTAAAACTGTCCTTTGGATCTTATAATTGAAGTAGTAAACAATACGGAAAAGATCTTAGTCCAAATGAAATGACAATTCTGTGGATATTTCAGGAAAAGCCAGAGAGTAGAACAGTTCTAAGGGACTGGTCAGTAGAGGTATTTAGGTGTTATAATGAATAACCATATAATGCGACATCCCAGGGTTAAATATATAATAGATGAAGGCTATTCTAACAACTTTTAGATATTCTCTTCTGACTCGTGATTACTAATGTGAAACTTTGTGAGCATGAGTCTCTTGAGGATCATATCCAGATATCTATACTGAGAGGGTCTGTGTTCTCCATCCATGTGGGACTCAGATCACAAGGAGACTTAGCTTTGCTGTCTAGTCAGTGAGACGTTATGAATTTCATGCCTACGGCCACTGAACTATCTGGGGCAATAAGAGAAAACCTCAGATGGTGCTGAGAAGCAGTGGTCAGTGTCATAGGACAGCCAAGGAGGTGTGATGCCCTAGAGGTCACCTCCAGAAAGTGGCTCCTGGGGGGGAAGTGGTTGATCGTATCACATGCTGCTGATAGGTGAAATAGGAACAAGACATAAATGGTGCTTGTTTTTTAGCTGTGTTGACAGTCTGGGTTATAGTAAAAAAATCTTGACTCACTGAGTTTAAAAGGAAAAGAGGTGTAATGCGTTTCAAAGAAAGTAAGAGAAAAACAAGGCATGGTGACCTAGAAAACTGTTTAGTCGAGTGTTGCTGTAAAGATGAGCAGAGAAATGGGGTGGTAGATGTGATGTCAGAAGAGAGGGTCTGGGAGGGCCGGTAGCTGGTCTCAGCCCACCCTGTTCTCTTACAAGGTTCTTGAGTCTGCCACAGGAAAGAAAGAATTTGAGAGCAGAATCACAATAGAAAGTGAGAACAGGTTTAATATCATAAGAGACACAGATTGCCCAGAGAGAGTGCAGCATAGCTCAAGAGACTGAGCAGGGTCTACACCAAGTTTAACTCAAAAATAAGAAATATGCACTTAAAGTTTAGGACAGACTGCAGGCTGGCTCAAGAGAGCAGCTGCTTGCTGAAAGAAAGCTTGACCCAAAAAAGAAAGAAATACACATGATGGAGTTTGAATGCGTTGTCCCCTCCAAAACTCATGTGGAAATCTGACCCCCAATGTGGCAGTGTTGGAAACTGATTGAGTCATGGGGTCGGATCCCACATGAATGGATTAATGCTGTCCCTGGGGGTGGAGGGGATTAATGAGTGAGTTCTCGCTCTATTAGTTACCACGAGACCTGATTGTTTAAAGGACACTGGCACCTCTTCTCTGTCTCTCTCTTGCTTCCTTTCTCTTGTTTCTTCTCTCATCACGTGATCTGCTTGTACCCACCAGCAGCTTGCCAATTTTCCACCACGAGTAGAAGCAGCCTGAGGCCTGTGCCAGATGCAGCTGTCCGAGAATCATAAGCCAAATAAACCTCTTTCTTTTATAAATTACTCAGGGTCAGGTATTTCTATTATAGCAACACAAAACGGACTAAAACAACACACTCCGCAGGTGGAATGCGGGCTGGCCCCAGAGACAGTAAAACTATAAAAGCCAAATCCTGGCAGAAGGCGGGCCTGTTTATCACTATTTATTACATATTCATGCTATCTAATGGATATTGAGTTAAGGAGGTGGTTCGCTGTTACAAAATATACTCTTGCACATGCTCAGTTAGTCTGTATTTGGAGCATGGGTCCTCTGTGCGGACAAATAAGTCCGGCTGTTTGAACTGTCGACCATGTGAATCATGACTGAAGAATAAACACTGATTTAACACTTGCAGTGGGAAACAAGGACTTTGTATTAAGCATCAGGGCTTCTTCTAGTAGACAGTGAGATCCTTTGCTTCTGCCAGGAGGTAATGATTTGACACAATCCTTACCTTAAGTGGCACTTTAGGCTATGCGATTGTTCGGTGTCTAGCTGCACATGTCATTGCCAGGATATTTTGTAGTGTCAAAATGCTAACATTGAATCCGTTCTTGGCAAACATCGGTCAGCTTTGCCATCCCTTTGGTGGGGTTCTGGACTTCCAACCTAGGCTGTCTCTGCTTGTCCATAGGCCTTGCAGTGGGAAGTGTGAATGCTGCTGGGACTCCTCATCCCTGGCCCTTTTACTTCCTCATCTCTTCCTGCTGAGAAGGGAATGCGCTGTAGAAACTACTCCCTCCATCGTGTCCTGTTCTTTCTAGACAAAGTGAGCTTGAAGACTTATCGAGGAAAAACTATGGGCACACCCCTGTAGAGTAAGAGCATTTCCAGTTTGTTTTTATTTGTCTTACTCAATCAAAAGGAAACTTGGATTTGTCATTTTAGAGACCACGTGATCAAGTCGAAAGGTTGGAAACTCTCAGTCTCAGCTGAGATGGGCTCCAGGAAGACTCACCGGCCGCATGAGTGCTGGATGAACCCAGATGGGGAGACGCTAGGGAATGAAGGCTGAGAGGTGGAACGGAGGGTAGAGCGGGTTCATGCTCGTCCGGTGTCCGGCCACAGGTGGTTCCCACTTGTGCTGCTTTTCAAAGTGGTCCATCGGGGCTGAGAGCTTGCTGGTGGAGGCACCGGCCTGGCCTCCTAGGAATGTGGACAGAGCCATGGCTGCCCAGAGGTTGGATCTGGCCCGTGAAGATGAGGGATGTGATGAGACCATTGTACCTTGAACGGATGAGGAAGCCGTCCTAGGAAGTGACTTCTGGAAGGAATCTTTCCTGCACTTTTTCAGAGCCTTCCTGCACTGTCATAACTTGTCTTGTCCACCTCCATCAGCTGTGCCTTCCCTAACCCAGTGCAACCTATGTGATGTCTGTTGTCAGAACACAACTAGGTAAGATAAGCGTTGCATGTAAAAGCAGGCAGTTCTGTGCACAATGACCCTACTGGGGTCACCTGGGGAGGCCACACCTCTTTCTCTCGCTGACCCTCTGACAACGAATCGAGGATGTGTCCCAGGCTGCGAGTTCGTTGGTGCTCGATCCTGGAGGCTCTGCTTTTGGAGGTCGGGGGTGGCTGTCATGCTTTCTTATGAGCCAGAGCAGGCAGTATCTTACTTTCAAAACTCAAGTTTTAGCCTTTCCCCCCTCATCTCGTAGGGTGATATGTGTCAGTCCGTCTCTGCATATAACAGAAATATGTGAATGTGGGGAATGCTTAAGATTGTTTCATTTCTTATGGTTTTGGAGGCTGGGAAGTCCGAAGACCAGGGAAGATGTCGAGTGAGGTCCCTGTCCTTGGTGGTGGCTCCACGGCAATGCAGGGTGTTACACGGTGACGTTCACCGAGGTAGAGAACAAACCCCATCACTTGCTCCTTTTAAAGCCATCAGTACCACACCCATTGCTATGTGAAAGGGTTGATCCATTCCCTACGACAGACCTCACAATCGAATCATTTCTTAGAGGGCCCCAACTTTCAATGGCCACGATAGGAGTTCGTACACTGTAAGGTCAACCCCGACAGTGATGGTGTTTCTGATACGTGCAACTTTGTGGTCTCCTTCAACCACTATCAGTGTCCCTATCCCGGGACATAGGTGGATTTCTAAAGGCGGAGGTCTCATTGACATTGTGTGCACAGGACTTTCCAAGGGTGGGGAATGGATTTCAGAATACTAAGGCTTCCCTGGACCACTGATCTCTGTGTTTGCTGTTGTCATTCCACAAGGCCTCAAGGTGTTGCCAAAGGATTACCCTGAGCACACTGCTGGGATGGGACAAAAGTCACTACCTTTCTGGGGACTCTTTTCTTGTGAAGCAGGGTTTTTTTTCCCTATTTGCATGATTGGTTAACCTGTCTCTCTTAGTCATGAGGTTTCCCCCCAGGGTGCTGACACCTGCACCCAGTAGCAACAGAAACATCTTTGGGAACTCTCTGAAAGAGGGATTTTGATGACTATATTGCGGAGCCTCTTTCTGAACGCCTCTCTTTCTGTCTTTGTCCCTTCACAGCATTCTCTATCCTGTGGGAAGTAACATACCCCCTGCCAAGCTTGTTTCTCTTTTGACATAGGTGATCCCTGCCTGGGGGAGCAACCCCAGATGGGCTGGAGAGCAACGGCACATCCTGCACAGGCTTCCCTGTGCTCCCAGGTCGGGGGCTGGGCACTAGGTGATTGAACTGGTTTCTTCTCATGAGAACATCTCCTGTTAAACTCATGTGACCTCAGGCACAACATGTTTTTATCATTAATGAGAAACTTTACTTTTTGTCTAAAAGTTTTTATTTGAATCAAATTGCTGAACCAAACAAGAGCTCAATTTCCTTACTGCAAATTAATACAGAGCACAATAGGGGGAGAATTCACTGGGCAGGACAGTTCCAGTATGGGAACATGATCCTGCTCATCGAGGTGTGACTCTTCTCGGAAGCAGTTGCTCTTAACAACAGAAGGACCCCAACTACCAGAGCCCCACAACAGGAAATGGTCTTAAGTTTGTGTGTGGGGCAGTGTGTCCTATAAAAGACAAAAGGCAGGGGAAGCACAAACACAACCCACTCTTTGAACCAAATGAAATGTCTAGGTAGAAAGTCCTAATGCCCCTTTCTGCCGTGATATAAAGAAGCGCTGGAATCTGGCACCCAGACTGGGTTTTCATCCTGAGGCTTTACAAACTGTGCCCCCCTGGGATTCGCATCCTCAGGTTTCTGGCTGATAGTCCGTTGACTTGGAAGAGATGTGCGTCTCTTCCTTCCTCCTCCTCTTGCTTTCGTGCTCACGTTCCCTGGGGCGGCTGCTCTCTGAGGGTCTCTTAGAGGCCCCGTGCTGTTTGGCTTCTTCCAAAAAGTTGTCCAAACCAATAGGGTCTTCCTCAAACTGAACTGGTCCTTCTCGGCCTCTCTGCCTTCGGTCTGAAGCAGAAACCTCCTGGTGGGGAAGAAATCTGTTGGTCTTTATTCTGGCTTCTAGGTCATCAGCACACACGTCCTTGTCCAGATTTTGGCTGGGCCTGTAAATGATCTGGGCCACACCCTGACCACCTCTCCAGGCTCGATCATAAACATTGTACATTTCATCTTGTCCACCTGCAAACCCACTGTCCACCCCTTGGGATCGGTCAAAGAGCCTGTGGTCGTCCTGAACTTCACTGGACGTGCGAGGATTGGCCATACTGAGAGCAATGACTTCGGTCACGTCCCGAGTTTCCCTTCTCTGTCCTTTCGGCCTCTTCTCTAGTGCTGCTGTGGGAAGGTTCCGGGCACGCTGTCTCTCTTCTCGCCTGTCATGCCGGATTTCCTGCCTCTCGTGTGCCTCCCCCTCCTCTTTCTCCACATGGGTCTTGGTCCCAGCTCTCCTCTCCCTGGCTTTCTGGGCCATTTCTCTGAGTTTCTCTTCACGTCTCTCCTTCGCTTTATGAGCCATCTTTCTCTCTACCTGGGCACGCATTTCCACAGCTTCCCGAGCCTTGCGATCAGCCATGGAGAGGGCTTGGGTGAGTCTGGCAAACTTCTCACTGATGTGTACTGTCTGTAGTCCTCTCGCATCCGCAGCCAGACGTTTGTCCAGTGGGATCGTGTAACCCTTTGCATTTTTCCAGTTAGAAATACAGGGAGGAATCTTCCACTCTCGCTGTTCCCTTCCAGTCATCTGTCTGCTAGGGGAACACATGACTGGTGCAGGAGGAGAAGGTGGTCCCCGGGGAATTTTCTTGTTAGTCTTAAACCTTGGAGGCTCCATGGGATCTGTCTGCATTTCTGCCATCCGAATAACCCTCCGTGTGGCTCCAGAGTTGAAAGCCGCTCCTTGCTGAGTTGGGCTGTAGCGGATATACTGAGCTGGAGCCAGTTTATCAGCTGCGCCCAGTGGCCTGGATGTGGCAACCTTCTGCCATACGGATTTCTCTAAGGCTGCTCGGGTCTTTTCTGTTATCTCTTTAATAGCTTCTTCATCTGGTCTCTGCAGGTCTGTGTCCTCTGCTTTCGTAACTTCCTTTGGAACCAGGCCAGCGTATGTGCTGCAAATGACCTTGTCTTTCACCTGTCTTTGTCGAGCAATCGCTTTGTACTTCATTCTTCCCTCAGGATCCACCTGAATGGCCAGCGCATTTGACTTTGTTTTCCTCTGTCCCATATCCAGGGGATACTGGGCCGTGCGGATCTCTGGAAAAGCACCTCCAGCTCCAAAATCCTCCAGTAACTGGGGCAGCCATCCTTCCTGGCACCCATATGGGGGAGGTCCTCTTCGGGAGGAGACTGGTGAGGTCCTCTGCGACCTCTGGGAGGTGGCCTTTCCCGCAGCCTCAGGCTGATCGTCATACCGATGAGTCGGTGCCGGTAACAAGCTGGGGAGTGTCATCATCTGTCACCGCTGCCAGCACCAGGGACAGCACAGTGGAGCTGGTCTTTCCAGGTGACCAGCAGTGGAAAGGAAGTGGCCAGCACTGTGCAGGCACCCTGGCTCTAAGGCCTTCCTGGACTTGTGGCTCTTGGAGCACGAGGACACTGTGGTGACGTTCTGATCACACCTAACATTTTCTTTGTTGTTGGCAGCTGCCTGGAACAGGGATCCCACGCTTGACCTTGCCGTGCTCAGCCCCTCGTTCTTATGAACTGAACCAGCCAGTCCTGAGACCCTGCTTTTATCACGGGATAATCGCATCAGTGAACAGGAAATGCGTACACAACTCCATCAGTCAGGAGCCGGCACATGACAGGGCATTCCCGAGGTACAATGACAGAGTCGGAGAGGCCTTTTAAACCACTTCATTTGATTCCCCACTCTTTCTCTTTCCCCTAGTAGCGATCCCGAATGTGAAAGTTTTCCTTGGACAGCACCACTACGTGAAAGGGCAGTGGGGATTTTGAAGTGACAGGAAATTGGAGACCCACCGTGACATTTTTATGGAACACAAAAGTGGAAGCTTGACGTGGGAACCACAATTTTAAAACAGTATCTGGCATAAGGGAGGAGTAAAATTGTTGTACGATAATGAGGAAGGTTTCCGATGCCAAACGATGACTCTTCTCTACAAACTGAGAAAGGTCAGTGGGACAGATCACAGTCTGTAAGGCCGCAGACACCAGCCCCGAATTGGTTCTGAATCTGATTTTTTTTTTTTTTTAGTTATAATTTTATTTTATTTTTTTATTTTTATTTTTTTGAATTTTTATTTTGTCAATATACAATGTAGTTGATTATTGTGTCCCATCACAGAAACCTCCCTCCCTCCTCCCTCTCCCTCCTCCCACCCAAGTGTGTCCCCTCCATTTGCTTGTTGTAAGAACTTCAAAAAAAAAATTGTGGTTGTTATATCTTCCTCTCCCCCACCCCCCAGTTTTTTTCTTTTGTTGTTGTTGTTGTTGTGTGTGTGTGTGTGTGTGTGTGTGAATTGATTCATTCACCTTTAGCTCCCTCCAATAAGTGAAAACGTGGTATTTCTTTTTCTCTGCCTGACTCGTTTCACTTAATATTATTCTTTCAAGGTCCATCCATGTTGTTGCAAATGGCAGTATTTCATTCGTTTTTATAGCTGAGTAGTATTCCATTGTGTAGATATACCACATTTTCCGTATCCACTCATCCGATGATGGACATTTGGGCTGATTCCAGCTCTTGGCTATTGTGAAGAGTGCTGCAATGAACATTGGGAAACAAGTAAACCTTCGACTTGATGATTTCCATTCCTTTGGATATATTCCCAGCAGTGAAATAGCTGGGTCATATGGTAGATCAATCTGCAACTGTTTGAGGAACCTCCAAACCATTTTCCATAGGGGTTGCACCATTATGCATTCCCACCAACAATGTAAGAGAGTTCCTTTTTCTCCGCAACCACACCAGCATTTATCTTTCAGCATCTTTTGGATTTTGGCCATCCTAACTGGGGTGAGATGGTATCTCAGTGTGGTTTTGATTTGCATTTCCCGGATGCTGAGTGATGTTGAGCATTTTTTCATATGACTGTTGGCCATTTGCATATCTTCTTTAGAGAAATGCCTACTTAGCTCTTTTGCCCATTTTTTAATTGGGTTGCTTGTTTTTTTCTTGTAAAGTTGTTTGAGTTCTTTATATATTCTGGATATTAGTCCTTTGTCAGACATGTATTTTGCAAATATTTTCTCCCACTCTGTTGGCTGTCTTTTAGCTCTGTTAATTGTTTCTTTTGCTGTGCAGAAACTTTTCAGTTTGATATAGTCCCATTTGTTTATTTTTCCTTTGGTTGCCCATGCTTTTGGGGTCATATTCATGAAGTCTGTGCCCAGCCCTATTTGCTGAAGGGTTTCTCCTATATTTTCCTTGCTTTTATTTTTCCTGTAAAGTTGTTTGAGTTCTTTATATATTCTGGATATTAGTCCTTTGCACGCTGTCTCTCTTTTCACCTGTCAGTCCGGATTTCCTGCCTCTCTTCTGCCTCCCCCTCCTCTTTCTCCACATGGGTCTTGGTCCCAGCTCTCCTCTCCCTGGCTTTCTGGGCCATTTCTCTGAGTTTCTCTTCACGTCTCTCCTTCGCTCTATGAGCCATCTTTCTCTCTACCTGGGCACGCATTTCCACAGCTTCCTGAGCCTTGCGATCAGCCATGGAGAGGGCTTGGGTGAGTCTGGCAAACTTCTCACTGATGTGTACTGTCTGTAGTCCTCTCGCATCCTCAGCCAGATGTTTGTCCAGTGGGATCGTGTAATCCTTTGCATTTTTCCAGTTAGAAATACAGGGAGGAATCTTCCACTCTCGCTGTTCCCTTACAGTCATCTGTCTGCTAGGTGCAGGAGGAGAAGGTGGTCTGACTGGTGCAGGAGGAGAAGGTGGTCCCCGGGGAATTTTCTTGTTAGTCTTAAACCTTGGAGGCTTCATGGGATCTGTCTGCATTTCTGCCATCCGAATAACCCTCTGTGTGGCTCCAGAGTTGAAAGCCGCTCCTTGCTGAGCGGGGCTGTATCGGATATACTGAGCGGGAGCCAGTTTATCAGCTGCGCCCAGTGGCCTTGCTGTGGCAACCTTCTGCCATACGGATTTCTCTAAGGCTTCTCGGGTGTTTTCTGTTATCT